ACTGACTAACTAACTAACTGACTAACTAACTTACTAACTAACCAACTAACTAACTGACTGACTAACTAACTAACTAACTAACCAACTAACTAACCAACTAACTAACTAACTAACTGACTAACTAACTAACTAACTAACTTACTAACTAACCAACTAACTTACTAACTGACTAACTAACTAACTAACTAACTATCCTACCTACTTACTAATTCAATTTCTGTTTTGGAACTTTATTGCTCAACTGAAACATTTTGAATCTAACGCCCTTTGTGAAAAAGTAATAAGAATACTTGGAAGAGAATAAGACGAGTCCACCATTTATTTCGTCGATATCTTGTCAACTGTTTACAAGCTAACTGATGAAAATTTAATGCCTCTGATACAGGTTTAAGGTACTTTAATTCATTGGAGATAAATTGTGAAATAATATTTAGGGATGAACAGGGTGTATAGACGACTCGAAATATTAGCTTAGAAAAATGCGGAGAAAGGGTATTGACAAGATATTGGGGGTAAGCTCATTTAATTCGATATTGGAAATAATAATTGACGATGTAATTAAGAGAGAAAGAGTGTGTGTGTGAAAATAAATCGAAATTTACATTCAATAAAAGATGATATAAGCAATTAAGGTTAAAAAACGTGCTGCTAAATGACAGAAAGAACTAAAACAGCTATTTTGAACATATAAGTCAACTTTTAACTGTATGATAGAGAGTGGATCTGTGAATTTCAGGAGGACTGAGCTTAACTTTCTGCTTATTATGTTGAATAGATTCAACATGTCCTCCTGATGTCCTGTGTCAATCGGATGTCTTCTGACCCAGATACTGGTATCACGATATTTGAATAAAGCAAGAACAACAGTTTGTGCAGAATTAGATGGAATCATTATTTTTATTTGGTTGCATCGGTGACTTGCCTGTAGAATGCTAGCCAACCATGCCTCACATGGTTCGGGGTTCAACTCCAGGCAGACGCACTACTTTACCTCCCTAAGCTAGTCTTAAGACCGGTGAAAAGGGAAAGTTGGGGATGTGGCTAGGAACCCCAACCCGTAAAAATGAAATCACTGGTATTGAATCTTCAAAGCTCTGAATTGAAGCCCTATGTTCCACTGGTGACGCAAAGGAATTAAAAAGGAATCATTTTTATTTCGTTGGCTACTCATCATCTGTTTACGATCTAAAGATATTATTAAGTTCACGTAGAAAAACAATTTTAACACACTTGTAATATTTTACATCTTTCTAGCTTAATATTTCGAGTCATCTATATACCATGGTCATTCTTTGTCATTGCTCTACCCTTAATGTTTAATAGGCAAACGTTTGCTAGTATTTGTAGTTGTGATAATATTCATCAACATAAGACTAAACTGAACATCAACCAAATTAGGAAAAATAATAATACGAAATTCATGAACTTATAAGCTACACAGAAGACCAGAGCAGTAATATTGGCTGGGCGAATCGCAATAGCTTCTGATGTTTGGAGTATTCGATACTTGAATGCTTTCGTCAATTTCTTTGGTACCCGAGAGGTGACAGAGATTGATTCTTCAATGCTGGGCTTCGTGGCCAGTTTGAGCCAGGTAGTCTAATATCGAACTTTTGGTGGTTTTCATTACACCTTTACTTAGCCACATTGGTATGTGTTCCCTTACATGAACAGTTAAGGTCCTAGACCAACGGCTAATATAACTCGCTCCACCACAATAGCTGTTGAACTGGTAGATACAATTTGAAGTGGCTAGTCTAGGTACTTCATTTTTCAATCGAAGAATCACCACCGGTCATGTAGAAAATAAGACTTGTAGTTCGCCAGCATTGAAAGTCCTTAGAACTGATTTTCTAAACTTCTTCGTAATAATTTCGCTACATATATCGCCCTTGAATTGCAGTTGTTCGCATAAATTCGTCTTGTTTACGGATAGTGAATAGTCCTTTTCAATATCTTATGTTTCCTGATGAATTTATCTGGATAGCTTTTTTCAATCAAGGTATAATATACAATCCTTAGTTCATCTTTAATTACCTCTTCTGAGCATATTGGTCTGACTCTGTAGCTGAGTGTTCTCATTAAGTGCTTATTGTGCCGCAGACAAACAAAGCCATGTACTTTTCATAAGGATATTTCCCCTTGTACTACCACCTGGTTAACTGTTAAATTTCATTATGCAGCTTACTAGGGATACGGACAAAATGGATAATGGATTCGTTATATCCTGTACTAAGTATTATTGTTGGTATTGCTTTATTCATATTTATTAAGGGAAGTTCCTACATGACATTATAGTCTTTTCATGCTATGCAGTGAAATATTTCTACCCTGTTTACTTCTCTTATCGAGTTTAAGTCTTTTAGTTCATAAATGATACTTTATTAAGTTTGATTAATGACATCGTGACGAAAACTCACTCTTTCTCGCCCTTTATATATATACATCAATAAATGTCAAGGAAATTATGCATTTATCATTATGGCATAGGATATAAAAAAGTTAAACTGACTTTGTTTTGTTTCACTTCATTAATGACGTTTCTTTTGAATAGGAAATTTAAACAGAGGGCTAATCTGAAAATAATAAATCATGATTGTCAAGTGTTGGTTTGCAGGGATTTGATTGGTAACAGGAGTGATCACAAGCTGACGTCAGTAAGAGAACTACTGGGAAACTTGGAAGTAGTAATAATAGTAATAATAACAATAATCTTGCTTTATTCCAAAACAGTAATTGTGATACAGAATGGAATTCTCAGCACTTTTACTACAGTATTGCATCCACTTAGCACATTATCAATAAATAAAATTCTACATAGATTACAGGAAATCTCAGTTCATTATGACAACAACAAATTGGCATGTCAGTAGCAAAGGTAAAGCTGAACAGTGTTTGAAGGTGTTAGAAAAGTAGGAGCTGTCATATTTACTGGCGTAAGCGAGAGAAAGAAACAAAGCAGCGCATAACGGAAAAGATAGAGAGAGAAAAGGAAAAGAAAGAAAGAAAATGTTGTACCTATTGATGATGTGAGTTGGAAAGCCGAGATCTAATTGTTCTACTGACTATTTAATAAGTTATAAGTTTTACGCTTAGTGCTTTCTTTATCACACAGAACACGAGCTAAGTAGGTTATGGTTGAGATTTTGTACTTGCTAGTGCGAGCATATAGTTTTCAATATAGCCTTCTGGTTTTGCCTGATGAGATGCAAGGGAGGGGTTGTGAGTGAAGAGAGTGGTGTGAGTTAGATAAAATGGATTTGGCCCATTTTTCACATGAGTCCATGTGCCTGTCAACCAGAATATTAACAAGCTGGTTAAGTGGCAAGTTGCTTACCCTGCTGACAACCTTAAATATCCTGCGTAATAAGGTAAAGTCTTTCTTCAGTAGCCCAGGAAAAACTAAGGGGTAACAATAGAGAATAATAGGCAGAATGCGAGAGTTAACGAATTGTAGCAGTAAGGGTTGGGTTACACCAGAGTGTAATGGACAGCTATTTCATCTTAATTTGAGATTTTTCTTCAGTTTGCACCCACTGCTAGGGTTCGAACTCAGGACCCTCCCAAGAAGCTTGTAGACAATTCAGCTACTCTACTTGATTCAATGGCCCACGAATTCCAATTGGTAATATATTTAGCTCAACCACCTGCCGGTGTCACAGGCGGGTAACTGTCCTATCCCCTAACTAGGTGGAACATTCTGGTTATGACCTTTCATTAAAATGCCAGGTAACATCCTGTATATGACAATCACCAGTGAGTATCAGATCGATATCCAAGTATTGGCCTTCAGGGGAGTGATTAGTCACAGGACTGAGTACTGATGAAGAGTCCCAACCTAGGGCGAAACAACTGTCCATTACTCTCAGGTTTTCCAATGATTCTCCTAGCCAATCCTGTAACGAATCACTATTATAATAAAACAGTTTACACTAGTTATAACAAGAATTAGAAAGATCTGCTAAGTATATTTTGTGCCTGAAAGATAAGAAAGCAGTGTATCTACTCGTGGACTTTTTAAAACAATGTATGAAAAATGGGATTATCTCATTTACCATGCTCCTTCTATTATTAATACTCTTCATTTTCGAATGATTTCCCACTTTAGATAATTTCTTCTCATGCTCTAATGAAACTCTTTTTGATGCCAATACATTAGCAACGAAATGACATGGAATATATACTGATCAAAATTAAGACATGGGCGAAAAGGAAAAAGAATTGTCACTTCTATAATCAATACTTCCGAATGGAACCTACGGCTCCATCACCACATATCCATTTCACCATGTTATCTGAGGTCCTTTTAGTCTGGCTTTCGTTTCCTCCTCACACGATCTTTTCCATATTACACTTGGACTCACGTCCAAATCGTCGTCTTACATTCAGGTTCAGCTCGACAGTTTGAATTACACGAGAAGTGTGTGTCCGATCCATTTTCATTTCATGCGTTGGGTGGTAGGTTCTTGGTTGGTTTGTTGACTGCCTGAGAGGCTTCCTTGCTTCTTATTACTTTTGGTCTTCTACACTCCAGTGTCGACCGAAGACGGCTGTTGATGAACGTGATACATCTGCCAACTCTCTGAGTCATGTAGAATCATTGATGTGAAAATATCGATCGTGCTTCTTATTTTGAATGTATTATTTTTCCACACTGATTGTACACTCACACACACTGTGTTGCTTTTCCGATTGTGGTTGACTTTGACATCGTCATTTGTGTTACTAGCCGTAGCTGAATCCATGCTGAGTCGGTAAGTGAAGGAGGTGAGTTCGTTAACCATTCAGACTCAACCCGTAGGTCTTGGGTTCTATTTCCGGTGGGGTCAACTGTGGAGACTGCTGAACAGTACCAGAATGTTGGTTTTCAAAGGTTTTCTGACAGATATCAACCCATGATCCAACTGGAAACCAATCAAATCTCTACAAATCGATGCTTATTTTTCAATTTACTTATCACCATTTTCTCTCTCTCTCTCTCTATCTCTGTCTCATTTCAGGTCTACATCGTTCAGCCTTTGATCATTCTAATACAAGTTTTGATGAACACGTGGAAATTGATCATAATGTATGGCATTATGTTTATTTTATAATATATTTAAAAACTAAACCAATTCATGAATTAACTAGTCAAGAAATATACATAAATAAGATGGTGAAAGTAAGTTCATTGTGGTTGTGTATTTTGTAGTGATTTACATACTTTAGTCTTGTTATTTTCTTTTCTTTTGTGATATGATTATTAAGGGCTTTTTTTTAACAGAATATGAGGTATGAGATAATTTTGATTGATGTATTGTTCTTTCATAGAGGAAGATTTTGACCCTTCTTTTTCCTTTGCTTTAATAAGTTTTTTGTTTTGTTTTGTGCGCAATATAATTAAATGCCGCTAAGAATGGTTATGTATTGGATTTTAGTTGAATGACTTTGTTATTGTTGTTGTTTAGTATCTGATTTACCCTCGTTAATTGAGGTCACTCTTTGAGAAATGACCTCCTGGAATGATTATTTCAGTGTCAATCTAAGTTAAAGTCTGATGTTATTTGTTCATTGATTAGGAGTGGTAGAAATAGCAAGCAAGCATAAAAGTGTTATGTTAACTGAATGTTGATATTTCTGATGAGACGATAACTTATATCTCTCTCATGGCTTTCTTGCCACTGCGAAGTGTAAGATGATGCTACAGGACTGGACTACATTGACTCATTCCTAGAGTAGAAATAGGGAGTGAAATGGTAGAGTGTGTTGACCACTTCACCCATCTGGGAAGTTGCATCAACTAGTGCCAACGGATTTATCGCTGACGAAATCTCAGCACGGATATAGAAGGCTAGTTTCGTATATGCCAGTTCAAGCCGCCTCTAACATAGAAGCTGTATCCGGCTTTCGACAAAAGGGCGTGTATACTGCTTAGTGGTATACCGCTCCTTCCTTATTTATGGTTGAGACCTGGCTATTGAAAGTAGAAGACACGAAAAGGCTGGCCAGCTGTAATTGATCATAGGTGTCTGAGTTCTATCTTCTATCTGAAGTGGTCTAGTAGAGTGAGCAATATTCAGGTTAGGCTTCGGTCGAGTGCTAGGTAAGTAGGGGAAATCAATAGACGAGGGTGTGAAGTTATAACGACTGAGACGGTTAGGACATGTGGTACACATGTGTGACTAGCCATCGCCTTCGTCAACAATGGGCCATGTTAGCTGACATAGCATCAGGTTAGAAACGAGAGAGTGGTGGTCAAACCAAAACATGGCTTCATCAGTCAATGAAATCTACAACAGTTAGTTTAAGCCAACCACGCAGGGAGGTGTAGGCTTCCTGACTCGTTAGGGTCGTCAGGACGGTAAATACCAATGGCTGGATAAAGACAGTCGGTGATATGGCTCAAAATCGTTATTAGTGATGGCTCAGATGCATTCACTTTTTGTGCTTTATTGTACCTAATAAGACTACATTGTTCTTCGATATTACTATTCCTTTTGCCTCATATCTCTGTTTACTGTCTCTGTTTTGAATTTCTTTTTTACCTTCTCTTCTTTTGTGTGCTACATGGAGTGTGGCGACTCGAACTGCTGTACATCGTTGCAAAGTTCTACGTTGAAACCAGTCAGTCAGTGGCTTTCTTGCAGTTAGAGACTTCATGGACTTTTTGAAGCCCAGACCATTTTCCACTTAGTGTAAATCAGAAATGGTTTTTGAAATTCTTCTATACTTCATTTTTTATGTATTAATTATTGATTTTTCGGGGGAAAATTATTTCAATGAATAAATAATGACAATACCCATCTTTTCGGATTGATGACAGAATCCAATTTCGTCACATCCGTGAAACATGAGCCGGGTGTACCTGCAGTCTCCAGTGATTACAGTATTCGAAGACGGCACTTTTCATTTCAAACGTCAAATTGTTAGCCAGTGAACTAATAGCGTCAAGAGACTCGCCTCTTTTGACGGAATATCCAGTTGACTAGTCTCGAATAGGACGAAATGTTGATCCTTGGCTGCACTGCTTATCACCATTCACAAACCTATATTAAATTTAGTCTCTCAATCCAAAGGTCTACCTGAGACGATGTTGGCAATATGAATATTTGTCAAGTTTTTGTGAAATAGGTTTATTTTGAAGAAGTGACATTAGTTTAGGAATGACGTTTAAAATTGCAGCTGACAACTCATGGTCCACTATAACTAAAGCTTTTTACCTCATTTAATTAATATACAGTTAAACGCGCCGGTGGCTCAGTGATAGAACACTCGCCGACTACGCATATGTCCAGGGGTTCAATTCTTGGCCGACGCACTGCCAAACCTCGCTCATCTGGTATTAAGGCCGATATTGAGGGAAAGTAAGGCGTGCAGCTAGCAGCCTGACCCCGTAGTAATATAAAAAATCCACTTCTACCGAAATTTCAAAGGTGAAGATTAAAGCCCTATGTTCGACGTGGAATGTAACGAAATGAAATGAAAAATAGAGTTATACAACCGTTATAATAAATAATTCCTACACTTTGTTAGTTGGTACTCTTAAAGCTTCAAAGCGTTAAAATTTTTAAGTAATTTATTGTTGCATCTTCTAGGACAGAAAATGATTTCTTTTAATTTGATTCGACTGCATTCTCTGAGCTGGTTAGAATAATTATAAGTCTTTTGTTGTCCTTCAAGAAAATATCTTCAGCGCAAGCTCAACGTGAAGTGAACCATCTTTCAATTCTCCATGAATGATATTATTGTATTGATGATATTAGATAGTTGGAGGCAATCGGCCACAGGAAGCCTTGAACCTAGGTTTCGTGCTAGTTGGCATTCACTAGTCAGCAAGGCGTGTCTGCAACCTTGAAGGAACTCATGTCCCTTCTGAGATTCGAACCCGCGTCACCCAGTGAGTACTGCAGTTAGAGACGTTACCACTGAGCTATTCAGCCTCGCGACTGACATCCTGTAGGACTGTAGTGGGTATTTTCATTGGAAATTAGTAACTAGTGTGAATAGCTGAGTGGTAACGTCTCTGACTGCAGCACTGGGTGACGCGGGTTCGAATCTCAGAAGCAGGGACATGAGTTCCTTCAAGGTTGCAGATACGCCTTGCTGACGGGTGCCAACTAACACGAAACCTAGGTCGAAGGCTTCCTGCCGATTGCCTCAAGCTATCTAATATCATCAAATCAATGTGCACCGTGATGGCGAGCTACCCAGAATGGTGGCCACATTGCAAACCTGACTGATAGAATTCAGTCTGCACCAGAGAAAGGACTAGACAAGTCACACTAGTTACTAGTGTCCAATGAAAAAGATATAATTGTATCTCATGACAAAAATTTACCGTGATTTTTTGTTTTAATTTGCATTAGTTTTGATAGTTTTATTGACTAAGAATTTGACAGTTTTTGCCATGTGATTTATTCTACATTAGTCAATTAATTTGGTCTATATTGAAAAATCTGTTAATCGGTGATTCTCCTGAATATCAGGATCCTAGGAATTCCATGGCAACTTTGGTGCTCACATCTGTTTAACATTTCTACATTTTCCCAATAAAATCAATGCCTTTAATACTCTACATGCATCAGTGTGAAAGAATACATGTCGTGTGTCTTCACAGCTAGTCTGTATCCTTGCACTTGAAGTAGGTTTTTGATCATACATGTCTACGATCTCTTTCTCACGTTAGGTGGTATAATAAGGGAAGTAATGTTGACGTTAGGCGTAGAGTATGGGGCAAGGAAGAAAAATCAATCGAAGAGGCTATAAAGTTACGTAGATTGAGATGGCTAGGTCACGTGCTGCGCATGCCTAGCCATCGCCTCCCTCGACGGGCATTACTAGCTGATATAGGTGCAGGTTGGAAAAGAGTAAGTGGTGGACAAACAAAAACATGGCATCTATCCATGAAATCCTTGACAATTAAACTGAGTCAGGTAGGGAGATGCAGACTTCCGGGTTGGGGCCCTCGGGACGCTAAGAATCAATGGCTGGAGACAATAGGTGACATGGCTCAAATTCGTTGTCAATGGCGCAGATGTTTTCAGTCTCTTTAATCTTTCATATTCCTTTCTACCATTACTCACTCTGTTTCACTCTTATACTTGTCAAAACTCTATTGATTCTCTCCACTCATTTTCCTGTCTACCTTTATGTGTTATTTGGAACGTGGCAACTCAAACTGCTGCACTTCGTTACCAAGTTCTATGTTGAATCCAGACCAGACCAGACCAGGGAATATCCACTTTGATCAGTGTTGTGCGTATCACAGTAGAAGTAAATTGCTTAGTAGATGGCATCGATATCTTCTTCTTCTAGTGTTGGGTGGTTCTTTCGAATGAAGTGAATGTGTTGCCGTATATGTGTTATTTGTCCCGAATGACAATAATATTCTAGTCGTTACTTCAGAAACATTCTTTACGTGTATGGTAGGATGAATCTTCTTATAGTTTCTGTCTGATAGTTTGAATCGTGTTTAAACATTTTTCTGATTTTGCATATTTATATTTCATGTAATTATGTTAAAAGTTTGCGGGTATAATATCCAAAGCTATTGTATTATATTCTTATCAAATTTATAGAAAGGTGAATTCAAATGGATTCCACGTCGAAGAGCTATGGCACTGCATAATATGGAGACTGTTTCTACAAAAAAAGCTGAAGAAATTGATCAATTGGCTAAAAAGCTTGAAAAAACAATTCAAGCTGTGGAGAGCCTTAATGAAGGTTTTAAAAATTTATCTAAGGAGGTGAGACATATGTATTTGTTATCAATCATAGCCGCCTGCTTGAATCTTGAGCTACCAGAAACCTCTATCATTATATTTCATATAATTTCCCCTGTTCCTTTTGTTTTAATGGATTATTTACTCTCGCGAGAATTTTAATTGTATACAACCTACTGATTCGCCAGTGTTTACTATACTTCAGAATAGGCATAATCGTGGGGGTGGGCAACGTATCCCAATACGTGTCAAGTGTGAAGAGAAATACTTGCCACCGATGACACTGCCTACTGCCAGCCACGCTATATTGAGAATTGACAGAAGCTGGAATTCATGAACTGGCCACTGAATCGAGTGTCGGTGAGCGAATGGTCTACGAGCTCTCCTTGTAACCTGAAGGTCCTGGGTTCGAACATCCTGTGGTGGGTGCATATGGCTGAAGAGTCCCAAACTATTATTATTTATTATTGTTCCCTTGGGTTCCTAGTGGAACATAGGGCTACAACTAAACATCTCCAATTGCTTCTGTCTTCTGCTGTACTTTTCACCTGTATACATGTTAATCCATACTGTTTCAACTCCTCTTCACACGATCTCCTCCATGTCACCCTTGGACGTCCCACTCGCCGCTTCCCTTTCGGGTTCCACTCGAGCACTGGCCTGACGCACAATGTCACCCAATAGCCTCCTCAGTGAGTGTCCAATCCATCTCCACTCCCTCCTGAATATTTGTAGGGCGATTAGTTCTTGTTTTGTTTGTTCCCATAGCTTCTTGTTTGCGATTCTTTCCGGCCATCTAATCTTCAGTATAGAACGAAGACAGCTGTTGATAAAGGTCTGCAACAGGCTGTTGAAAATATTCTTGGTGACCCGCCAAGTTTCTGATCCGTATAGAAGAACTGACTGACTTGACGTTTGTATTGAAAATCCGAATTTTGTTGTTGATGCTGAGTGACGAGGATTTCCAGATTGGTTTCAGGTGGATGAATGTGTTTCTCGCCTTCCCGATTCTCGATTTGACATCCTCGTCCGTTCCGACTGCCTGTAGTTGAGACAATGCTCCCTTGATAAGTGAGTGAAGTAACCTCTTTCAAATCACTCCCGTTGATGTTGATTGGTGCTGGATGTTGCTGCTGTTGTCGTTGTTGGTTGGTTATTTTCATTACCTCCGTCTTGTCTATGTTCACTTGGAGTCCTGTCTTTGCTGCTTCTTCGACCAGTTTGTCGGTTTTTGCTTGTAAATCTTCGATTTTGTGTGACATCAAACATAAGTCATCCGCGAAATCCAGGTCCTCTATGTCCTTCACGTCGGTCCAGGATATCCCTGTCTTCTCGTTTCCCACTGTCTGACGCATAATCCAGTCCACCACAATTAGGAATATCATTGGTGATAATAAGCACTCTTGTCTGACTCCTGTGTTTACTCCAAATGCCTCGCTGAGTTTTCCGTTGTGGATCACTTGACATGTGCCGTTGTCATACAGCTGTTGAATGAGGTTGATGAATATTTGGGGTACGCCGTAGTACTCAAGTAGTTTCCCAATTACTTCGCGTTCAACGCTGTCGAAGGCCTTCTCAAAGTCTATGAAGTTGAGGTAGAGGTTTGATTGCCATTCCATGCTTTGTTCGATGATAATGCGTAGAGTTGCAATTTGGTCAGAACATGATTTGCCTTTCCTGAACCCAGCTTGTTCTGGTCGGAGTTCTGTATCCAAAGCGTCCTTTATTCTCTCCAGGATGATGCGACTCAGGATTTTACTTGGCGTCGACAGGAGCATGATTCATCGCCAGTTCTTGCAGAGTCCTAAGTCGCCCTTCTTTGGTAGTTTCACGAGGTAACCTTTCCTCCAGTCAGTAGGCACCTTTCCCTCTTTCCAGATCTGTTGTCATTTCTGGGTCTGCTTTCAGTGCCTCCGGGGGTATTCCATCTGGTCTAGCTGCTCTTCCAGCTTTCAGAAGCTTGATTGCATTCATGACTTCAGTTTTCGTTGGAGGATTGGTGTTAACTTGTAGTTGTGTACGTGCTTTTGTTTGTATTTCTGGACGGGTTGTAGGTGGTGATCGGTTCAAGAGTCGTTTGAAGTGGTCCGCCCATTGTTTAATCTGTCTTTCTTCTTTGGTAATTGGGTTCCCTTGGCTGTCTTTTATAGGTTTCACTTGTGTTGATCTCTTCCCGGATAGAGACTTGGTTATCTGATATAATGTCCTCAGGTCCCAAACTAGGCTGAAGAAACACCTGTCCAGGAGACATAGATGAAATATGACAATGGATTGATTCGCTCTTCATGTCACACGGCACTGTTTTACAGGATCTACGGTCAGTTAATGATTCCCTCGAAGATCTTATACGAGGAGAAGATAGCGTCGTCTAATTTCCGCTGAAAACTGTGTACATTATATAAACACTGTCCAGAATGAAACTATTATTCTAACAAAGACAATGCGTCCAGCTGGATAGTTTATGAAAATTTACACAAAACGTCTTCGTTAATTCAAACAGTAAATGTTCATAAGTTAATTGGTGGATGGTGACTAGCAGTGGAATCCAGGATGCACATTTCGTCCTATTTGAGATTCATCAGCTAACTGGATTTACTTGCATTTATGTTTGAAAAACTGATTGCTTCCTTTAACATCTTAGTGAATTTCTTATTTTTGTTATATTTATTCGCTTATTCCAATAAAGTTTGGTGATACTCTGCAGTGGAGTAACTGGGGGTTAAATATACCAGACTGTTAAACGTCACTCATGTTTTTAGTGTCATTTCCACGGTACAGTTTTACATTTTTTAGGTAATTGAACACCAGACTAAACAGAGAAACCGAATTAGTTTCCCAAAATATCCTCTTAAAACTGTTGAAGAAACGGAAGCATTTCTTATAATCAATGTTTTTTCAAAGTGTAACGTCAAAATATCCATTTGCATAAATCATTTCTCAGCGACCTACAGGCGAAGACCGTCAATTTGACCGAAGACTCAGCAAAGACAGGATTTCACGTGGACATAGAGAAGGCAGAGGTTATGCAGATACCTAATTAACAAGAACATCGAGCATCAATCACCATAGAAGTGAGAAATTTGAAGGAGATCACGCCTTCCTCTAATTAAAACACTACTGCGTCAGCTACAGATGGGCGGGGATGAAGTTGTCAAAGCTATGTGGAATCAGAAAAGCAAGATAGACCTTCGTCGATCTAATATCAGTGTGGAAAACCGCTACAATCAGTAAACAGGTCTTCAGTACTAGTGTTTGTCAGTGGTTATGAGTGACTCAGAGACTTGATACTCACTTCAGCAGGAGTATTTTCAACAGGCTATAGACTTTTCACTAGAGCTGTCTTTGCTAGCTCGCATCCTGAAGATCAGATAGACGTCAAGGATTAGAAAGCAGGGACTCTGTCAGCAAAATAACCAAGCATCTATCGCCCACACACTGTGGTGACTGTCGAGTGAGCTGACTCTTCATGCATTTATTCCCCTTGATGAATTTGAATAAAGCAAGAACGAAAGTGGTTTGTGCAGAATAATATGGTACCATCATTTATTTCGTAGGCTTCTCATCAGCTGCTTACAGCCTAAATACATAATGAGGTTTGCGTACAGAAAAGTTTTAACATACTTGCAAATTTTTTACATGTTGCCAGTTGACAGAAAGTTCCACAGTAAGTGAACAGTGCTCAGAAAATTGCGCTTATATAGTTTTTACACATGCAGTTCAAGTTTAAACAAAATAGATGTATGCATACAATGGTAAAGGAGTTACGTAATAAAGACGGAATATGAGTTAGATACAGAGTGACTAATAAATTAGGTAACAATGTACTGAGTTCAACTCAAATCATAGAAACAAGAGACAAGCAAAATTACAGAATATAAAAGGGGGTGAGGTTAAAGACAAAGATTACGTAATCAGATGAGAGAATAAAGACATTCAGTTACCAGGGCAAAGAGAGATTAATAACTGCTTCTTTCTGAACACATAAATCTGGTTTCAAGCGTTTGATAGAGATTGCTTCGGCAAAGTTGAGGAGAATGGAACTCCTTTGTCTATTGATAATTTTAAAGGATTTCTCGATTTCTACCTCATGACCCGTGTCGAGAAGATGTCTAGTGATAGCGCTGCTATAAGAGTTTGTTCCCTTGAGACTTAGGCTTCTTGGCACATGTTCAGAGAATCGGAGGTGTGCCCTTCTTTCTGTTCTCCCAATGTAACTGCTCCCGCAGATACACGTAAATTTGTATACACAGTTGGAGTTAACATGAGAAGGGTATCTGTCGACTTTTGACTGCACCAAAGAGCATGTTGTTCGGTGGACGGGAACCAACTTAGCTGCAGGATAGGCTCTGGCTAGTGATGTTCTCAGTCTTCTGTTGACCATTTCTGCAATGTTTTCACCTTTAAAATCTAGTTGAATGAAGACAAGCTTTTTTTCAACTGTGATTTGTTTGGTATTTGAGTCTTCACATCTTCCATATTTGTTTATGAATCTTTGAGGGTAACCGTTATTTTTCAGCACCTTTTCGAGGAACATAAATTCTTCCTCTAGTTTCTCTGTAGAGCATATTCTCCTTGCTCTATAGTACAGAGTCTTGACTAGTGCTCGTTTATAGCTGACTCTGTCGAGTAGAACTCGAATGTGAAACGATGTGATGGCTGGGTGACATGGAAGAGGTTGCGTGGGCAGGAAGTTAAAGTTTATGGAATAAACCGAGAAGTACTGAAGCAAACAGTATGGAACGGAGATATGCTGCAGAAGCCCATTTTCCACCTGGAATCCAGGGGAATAATAGTAATAATATGAGGCATTTTAATTTATATACCAGTGATTCTGCGATTCTGCAAATTTCTACAATACGATAAAAGTAATTTACCTGAGTTGTGTAATGTATTTGTGCAACACATTTCGAACAATCTGATCATAAATGTATTTGTCATAAGTATATATATGAAAATAATAAAGCGTTAAGGGGTGAGAAAATAGACATAGGTTAAGTTGAAGGGACACATTGAAGGTCACTAAA